CCACACATAAACACAACACAGGAAAGACAACAAACATTCGCAAGTCGCAACAGAGAGTCGTAAGACACAGACAAAGTAGTAAATAGAAGAGACAGGTAGAAGAAAGTAGGGCACAAGAGACATGGGCGACACAGAGTGAGAGGACTGATCAGAAGTCAAGGATGCATATGAACATATAAACATAGTTGTATAATTATATAAATAGATAATAACATAAATTACATAATTACATAATTACATAATTACATAATTACATACTAACAGGGAGAATCGCAAAGACAGTCGTAGACACAGAGACTTAAACATAAACATAAACATAAACATAGACAACGGAAGATACGAATAAAGAGTAACGGAATAAAAGAGAACACAGTCGCTAAAAATACAGTGGCGTATAAAAAAATAAAAAATAAAAAATAAAAAATAAAAAATAACAGAAACATTCGTAAGACAAACACATGGGAATGAGATGTAGTGAGAGGGAAAAAGGTAGAGAGCAGATGAACCCAAGTAGAAGAGAGACACTAGCAAGACATAGGCAAGCTAACAAGGGGAAACATGAGTGGAAACATAAGTATAAACATAAATATAGAAATTAATATAATCGTAGAAATATAGACGGACATACAGATAGAGATAGACAAGGTAAACACAGTCAGTTGGCAGAGGTCTTGATAGAGAACACATGAACAAAACAGACATGAGGAATCTGGCAAAGCTTTGCACAGGCAGAAATGAACGATGGTTAGCAAATTGTAACGCATTTTGTACAGAGATTCTCGCAAAAGCGAATAGTGACAGACTGGTAAAAGAGAGAGACAGATTGTTGAGAGGAAGTAAGTCGCAAAGCAAGAGAGGCAGAGAGGTAAGACAAGGTAAGACATGGTAAGACATGGTCATTCGTAAGAGAACCGAACGATATAGATGAGAAACATAGTAGTTTGCAAAGTAAGAGAGGGACTTTAGTTGAAGAAGCACTAGCACTAGCACTAGCACACAGCGAACAAGTAAACAGTTGGGCAGGTAACTCGAGAGATGAAGAGTATAAAACTATGAAGAGAAGAACCCATGAACACATAAACACATAACACAACAAATTAACAAATAACACAACACATAAACACATAACGCATTAACAAAGTTAAATAACTCACAACCCAAGTAATTGCTTGGTGCATAAGACATAACTCAAGTATTCTCGTAAACTTGTGACACACTAACATATTTTCGTTAAATAACACAGTTGAAAGATGTAGGAAATAATATTATCGTAGAGAAATTAGTAGAGACTGTCATGACTAGTGGTAGCCAACGTATCGTAACACACGCAGCGCAGGTCTAGTTTGCTCGCAAAGCTAGGTACGCTAACACACAATTGAAGAGTTGAGCAGGTGAAGAGAAGAACAGGGAAACAGGTAAACAAGTAAACAAGTAAAGCGATGAACAAGTGTAGAGAAGAACACATTAAGAAAGTTAGCAAAGTTCAATCACCTTAACCGTATAAGCCAAGTAAATAACATAAGAACAGAAGAACCAGTAACCGGTAACCGAAGTAACTGCTTGGTGGATAAAACATAACTGTAGTATTCTCATAAAATTGGAACACATTAGTACCATTTCGCTTAATAACACACTAACAAAGTCGCAAATAATATGATCGTAGAGACAGCAATACACAGTGTGTCAGTGAGTAGTACAAGCAAACTTTGAAATATTAACAATTTTTCGCTGAATAACATACTCGAAGGAAGTCGCAAACTGTATTGATGCAGTGAGAATAGTACAGGCAGTGTCAGTGAATAACCCTGGCAGACTTTCAATTTTAACAAATTTTCGCTGAATAACACACTCGAACGAAGTCGCAAACTGTAGATAAATTAGTACACACTGTTAGTGAATAACCCAGGCTGACTTTTAATTTTAAGACATTTTCACCGAATAGCATACTCGAAGGATATCGCAAACTGTATTAGCGTAGGTAAATTAGTACACACACTAACTGCAAATGACCCTGGCTGACTTTAAATTTTTTAACAAATTTTGACTGAATAACACACTCGAACGAAGGCGCAAACAAGAATAGCGTAGATAATTTAGTGCACACTAAGTGCAAATGACCCTGGCAGACTTTGAAATATAAAAAAATTTTCATCGAATAACACACTCGAAGGATATCGCAAACAAGAATAGCGTAGATAAATTAGTACACACTGTTAGTGAATAACCCAAGCTAACATACCATAACACACTCTAGCAAACCCCACCGAGCTTCTGCCACCCACCCAAAGTTAGGTTACGGTTACCGAGGCTGAGGATAAAGTAAACACAAGCGAAGCGCCCCAATCTCAAAGTTACTTGGGTTACTTGGGTTACTTGGGTTACTTGGGTTACTTGGGTTACTTGGGTTACTTGGGTTACTTGGGTTACTTGGGTTACTTGGGTTACTTGGGTTACTTGGGTTACTTGGGTTACTTGGGTTACTTGGGTTACTTGGGTTACTTGGGTTACTTGGGTTACTTGGGTTACTTGGGTTACTTGGG